GTTGTGTGAGTATACTTTCACGGTGGTAGGTGGTCATGGTCTTGTGTGTGGTCTTGTGTAAGTAGTCTATAAGCGGGGGTCCCCTGTTGTCCCAGTTCTCTCGAACCCAGGGGGTTCCCCCTCTGTACCTCTAGCTGTGTTAACGCATGTTTCCACTTGGGTGGTGGTGATCTCAGAACCCCGTCAACAATCAGTGGATTCTGTTGCCCTCGGGAATGCTTTCCGTGAACCTCAGACATAACAGATATAAACATATAAACAGTAATAATAATAACATAAGATAAAAGGAATGGCTCCTGACGTGCCGGGTGTCCGGCTGTGCACCTGTGTGCGGTGCTTTGGGGGTGGAAGCTTACGGCTTCCGTCCTGGCTGCAGTTCAGCGGCTTTGGCCTTTATCTTGACCATGTAAGGTTGCAGTGACCTAATGGTGTGTAGTGCGTATGGGAGGTCTGTGACTGCGTCTGACTGGAAGGCCTGTAGGGTGTGATAGTAGGGTGTATGTGGCATTCAGTTTGCTCTGGGAGGGTAGTCTGGCACCCGCAGAGGTGTCTCCTCCGCTACACTAGACACCTATATTCCAGCATGTTCCGAAATTTGCGTGTACCCTGTGTTTAGGTGGTGCCGTGGCAACCGTATAATAATAATAATAATATTATTATTATTTTTTTTTTTTTATACAGCATTAAAGAGACCCTGGGGGGGGGGATGGGAGAGGGGGAAGCCCACTTGCCCACTCACCCACTCGCCTGCAGTAAATAAATCAGCGTCTCTAAGTGGCCCTTCACCCTCCTCTAGGGCTGTAACTCTCTCACCTCGTGTGCCGTGGGTCCTTATCGGGCATGTGGGGGTCAGATCCCAGTTTGTGCGGTCCCCCCACCTCCATCCCCAGCCCCCAGTCTTCCCGTCCCCCATCAATATGCATCTCTCTTGTTCATAACAATTGTTGCCCCATGTTACAATACATTAGTATACCCTTGATACAGGCCTGGTCAGGATGAGCGTTTACAGTCTCAGCACCTCCTCACAGGGACAAATTAGGGCTTGGCCTTCCTCCATGATGGAGTAAGTCTCTGAGTCTCTCGCCCTTTAGCTTGCACTTCAATGCCCCAGCTTTGGAGGACCTTCGTTCCTTCTTCTGGGGAATGCAGGATAGTAGGCTTTCCGTTCCTCTGTACCACCAATTTGACCGGATAGCCCCACCTATACGGCATGTGTAGTTGGCGAAGATGAGTTGTTATGGCGGAGAATTCTTTTCTTCGTTTCAGCGTGAACGCCGATATATCAGCATAGATGTGGATGTGCTGGTAGGCTGGGTCGGCGTCTCTTTTGTTCCTCGTGCGGTTCGCCCTCATGATTTCCTCTTTAATGTGGAAGTAGTGGAGACGAATCAGAGTGTCTCTGGGTGCATCTGCAGGCAGAAAAGCAGGCTTCGGGACTCTGTGTGCCCGGTCCATCAGGAACATGTCATGCGGCACCTCTGGGGCGAGGGCCTTGAACATGTCTGTAAGGTAGGCCTGGAGATGGGTCGGGCCGACACTCTCTGCTATGCCCCTGATGCGGAGGTTATTGCGCCGTCCCCTATCCTCCATATCCGCAATTTTTTCCTCCTGGGCCGCAATACGGGTTTTAAGGCCATCCAGCTCTGTCGCCATATCGTTGTAGGCCTCTTCGTGTTCCGCCATCTTGTTTTCCATCGTGGATGTCCTCTCCCCCAATTCCTTGATATCTGATCTGAGGTCTGTTATGGAGCTGTGGAAAGAAGCCTGCAGCTTGTCAGCCATCGAGTTTAGGAGGGATTGTAGGATCCCTTTGGTGACAGGTGGGTCTGCAGATCCGGCCTCCTGGGCCGTTGTGGCATCCTCCTCCCCGCCATCTTGGGTTTCCTCGTGGTGCGCCTGGCCCCGGGTTTGGCTCGATTTCACGCCAAAAAAATTGGTTTTATCGCCCCTCTCTGTCTGGCGACGCTGTTTGGGTTGGGACATCTTGTAGTCTGCCGTGTCCCTGTAGCTTGTCACTGCTGTGCTTTTGTGGTTAGGCCGTAGCAGCTCGGAGCTCCTGCTACATGCGACCGCTTTTGCCGGCGTCCAGGACACGCCCCCTATAGAACACAGTTTTAAAGGAACACTGGAGCGTTTTAAATAAATATATTTATTTTTAACACAGTGTTCCATATTGAGTTTAGATCACAGGCCTAACCTGTACCTCCTTAATTCAAATCCAGTTTCCTCGCTGCAACCATTCATTAGTGAAGATATCCGGGTCCAACTTAATGCTTCTCATAAGGTCCTATGAATCTAGCAGCAACTGTAGCTCTGTGCCAACAGACTGTTTAGAGGAGCAATGATTCCAATACTTCTCTATAACTAGATGAAGGGATAGGGTTATTAGCACTTGTCTTTTATACTTGCGGCAGCTTTAACTTTAGCTTCCCAAACCAGAGTCTCTTGGTAGTCGCAGTAGTATGTTGGAAGGCGTATTCAGCAGTAGTAGAGTTTCCTTTTTCAGTGCACCACAGCGTTGTAGTCAGTTGTCATCGGTATATGAAATGGCAATTCAAATCAGAATCTAGTGCTCTCTGTACATTATAGTTACAAATAATAAAATGAGCTATACTCACAAGAGAAGAGCAATGTCAGGTATTGTTCAATTATAATAGGCATAGGTAGTATGTTCACCAACAAGGAAATCACTGAGCGAATAATCCGGTTAAAATCTTCAAAGGTAAAAAGTTGCAAGGTCCAAAATCCATAAAATAACTAGTTTTATTAGGAAACAAATAATAAAATCAAGTACAGTATGAAAAACACTTTACTGTTTTTTATTTTATTTTATTACTGTTTGCATTTAACCATTTCATCATCAACTGAGCTAAAACTGCTGAGTACATTTGATTTTTTTGTGTGTGTCATTTTCAGGGTTAATATCACAGACCATGTACACTGATCAGCCCCTGACAGGTGAAGTGAATAACATAGATTACATTGTTATAATGGCACCTGTCAAGGGGTGGGATGGATTAAGCAGCAAGTAAACAGTCAGTTCTTGTGTTTCATGTCTGAGTGACTTTGACCAGGGCCAAATAGTAAGGGCTACACTACTGGGTCACAGCATCTCCAAAACGTTAAGTCTTGTGGGGTATTCCCAGTATGCAATAGTTAGGACCTATCAAAAGTGGTGCAGGGGAGGATAAATGGTAAACCAGCATCAGGATCATGGGCGCCCAAGGATTATTAATGCATGTGGGGAGCGAAGACTGGTTCGATCACACAGAAGAGCTGAAATACTCAATGCTGGCCATGATAGAAAGGTGCCAGAACACACAGCGCATCACAATTTGCTGAGCATGGGAATGCTCAGTAGACTGGTCAGAGTGCCCACATTAAGTTGGACCTGGATATCTTAACTAATGAATGGCTGCAGCGAGGAACCTGTCTCAGCACTGGATTTGGGGCCGCAACACATGGTGACGGGCACCCGGTCACAGGGCGGCTGGGCCCCCTAGAGTGACGGGCCCAGTCGCAGTTGTGACCCCTGCGACCCCTGCGAACGCGGTATGTACACCACTGGTCCAAAATCACACTTTGGTGCTATTTAAAGCATAATTCTCCCTAACGCTATTTGTAAACCTAGCCCTAACAATGTAAATCAGTATTTTGACCCACAGGTTGATTACAGTAATGATGTGCCTTAACTGACACCCCCAGGGTGATTGGTCAGCTTTGGGACCAATCAGGGACTACTGCTGGACTGCCTCACTGTGAGTTAGTACAGCAGTAGGCAAATGACAGCTGATCCCAGAATGCACTGTGGATCAGCTTTCAATCATGCCATAAGGCTGCTGTGACAGTGATCCTATAGCAATGACAGCCCATTGAGTCCCAGGGTGAGATTGTCTAGTGACAGCATATCCATGCCATGATCGCTGAGATCGCAGAAATTATAAGGGAGACAGGCATGGTGATCATGGGGACAGTTATCCCCATGATCACTTTCCCTATGGGACCTCCTTACAGCTATTTCTGTGATGCCTCACTAGTGCAATCTACATGTCTCTCTCCCCATGCAACCTGTTCTCAGACAGTCTGTATTAATTAATCTTAACCTAGAGCTACCCCACCTCCAATATATGTCTGACAGGGCCAGACTGGGAAAAAATTTGTCCCGTGCGCTATTATTATCACAACGGCCTCCTGAGAAAGGGGGGCAGTGCTAAAGAGGAGAGAGGGCACAATTTTAGGCTAGATTTCAGGCTTATATTTTGGTAACTATTTCTGAAGCAGCTCCAATTTAAACTAGCTACCTCTTGGGCAGCATTTTTGAGGCAGCTCATATAGAAATTAACTACCATGTAGGCAGCCAGCCATTGTCTTTGGAGGTTTAATTTGATTATTATTCTCCCTTGCACGTTCCTCTTAAGACCTCAAAGCATTCACTTGTAGCAGATTTATAGCTCATACCTGATACACTCTACTTTGGGAACAAGGCATGGAGGCTCACAAAGACTTGAGTCTTCAAAACCAGAAATCTATCCTTCATTGCTTGCAGGACATCACGGAAACCCATGCCTAGGCCAAGTATGTTACGAAACGGTAGTCTAGATCAGAGTTAGCCAACCTCCATCATAATGCTGGCAAAGTATCAGGAGTGATGAAGTCCACGACATCTGTAGTGCTGAAGGTTGCCTACCCATGGTCTAGATGGAGTAATGGCCCATTTGATCCTGAATCTCTCTCCATTCTTTAAAAGACACATATGGACAGGTCCACTAACAAGAACAGACAAACATGGGTGTCCGAAGGGGGGGAAAGGAGGGGCACTTGCCCCCTTGTCTATTTTTTGTGTGATAAACTGCAATACCGACGCCGGCCAGTAGGTGAATGGAGAACGGCAGGGATAGGAAGCTACAGCTTATCCCTGCTTCTTTCTCCGGACTGCATCCGCAGGAGAGCAGTAGAGAAAGACTAGCCTACAGATCAGTGAGGGATGGGGGGGGGGGCAGCCTACAGGAAGGTAAAGTAGAAGGAGCAGAAATTAGCAGAAAGGTTCTGCAAGGGGTAGGAGGGATCAGCAAAGAATAGGAAGAGCGGAAGGAGTAGGAAAGGTTTGCAAGGAGCAGGAAGGTGAAGTAGAAGGAGCAGGAAGGGGCAGCAAGAAGCAGGAGGGGACAGCAAGGAGTAGGAAGGGGCAACAAGGAGTAGGAAGGGGCAACAAGGAGCAGGAAGGGGTAGCAAGGAACAGGAGGGGTCAGCAAGGAGCAGGAGGGATCAGCAAGGAGCAGAAAGGGTCAGCAAGGAGCAGGAAGGATCAGCAAGGAGCAGGAAGGGTCTGCAAGGGGCAGGAGGGGTCAGCAAGGAGCAGGAAGGATCAGCAAGGGGCAGGAAGCATCAGCAAGCAGTAGGAGGGGTCAGGAAGGAGTAGGAGGGGTCAGCAAGGAGCAGAAAGGGTCATCAAGGAGCAGGAGGGGTCTCATTAAGAGCAGGAAGGGTCAGCAAAGAGCAGGAGGGGTTAGCAAGGAGTAGAAAGGGGCAGCAAGGAGCAGAAAGGGTCAGCAAGGAGCAGGATGGGTCAGTAAGGAGCAGGAGGGGTCAGCAATGAGCAGGAGGGGTCAGCAAGGAGCAGGAAGGGTCAGCAAGGAGCAGGAGGTCAGCAAGGAGCAGGAAGGGACAGCAAGGAGCAGAAAGGGTCAGCAAGGAGCAGGAGAGGTCAGCAAGGAGCAGGAAGGGACAGTAAGGAGCAGAGAGGTCAGCAAGGAGGGAGGTCAGCAAGGAGCTTGAAGGATCAGCAAGAGCAGAAAGGGTCAGCAAGGAGCAGGAAGGATCAAGAGCAGGAAGGATCTGCAAGGGAGGAGCAGCAAGGAGCAGGAAGAATCAGCAAGGAGCAGGAAGGGTCAGCAAGGAGGAGGGATCAGCAAGGAGCAGGAGGGATCAGCAAGGAGCAGGAAGGGTCAGCAAGGAGCAGGATGGGTCAGCAAGGAGCAGGAGGGGTCAGCAAGGAGTAGGAAGGGGCAGTAATGAGCAGAAAGGGTCAGCAAGGAGCAGGAGGAGTCAGCAAGGAGCAGGAAGGATCAGCAAGGAGCAGGAAGGGTCTGCAAGGGGCAGGAGGGGTCAGCAAGGAGCAGGAAGGATCAGCAAGGAGCAGAAAGGGTCATCAAGGAGCAGGAGGGGTCAGCAAGGAGTAGGAAGGGGCAGAAAGGAGCAGAAAGGGTCTGCAAGGAGCAGGAAGGGTCAACAAGGAGCAGGAGGGGTCAGCAAGGAGTAGGAAGAGTCTGCAAGGGGCAGGAGGGGTCAGCAAGGAGTAAGAAGAGGCAGCAAGGAGCAGAAAGGAACTGCAAGGAGCAGGAAGGGTCAGCAAGGAGCAGGCGGGGTCAGCAAGGAGTAGGAAGGGTCAGCAAGGAGCAGGAGGGGTCAGCCTGGGCCTGGCAGGGAAACTTTGGACCTTTTCATCTCCCCAGGTAAAAAAACAGATCAGTGTTAATGTGTTTACTTTGATTTAGTGGGTGTTAGGAAACCCAGAGGGCTGCTAAGTAAGGGTGCCGCTGATTAGCTACAACGGTCAGCTGGCACTCTAAGCCAATCAGTAGCTCCCCATTCATAAAAACTTAAACTAATTTATGAATTGGGAACTAGCGATTGGCTTAGAGCGTCAGCTGACCACTCTAGCCAATCAGTGGCACCCATGCCTGACGTCAATCTGTACTTCCTGACACTCCGTTTCAGAAGCCCAATACCACTGAGCGACCTGGAGCTGGAGGAACCTATTTGAGGTTAAACCATTTGAGAGTGGTTTAACCCCTTAAAGGAAAGAGAGCACCCAGGGGCCTACTGGCATCATAGCATTTTCATTTAGATTAAGTTGTTATGGTGACCAGAATGTTCCTTTAATTTGCTTAAAGGAACACTATAGTGTCAGGAATACAAAAATGTATTCCTGACACCATAGTTGTGAAAACGCTATTCACCCTGGCTTTATGTGAAAATGACTATGCTCCTCCCCTTCATGACACTGTCAAAAAGGGACCAAGCATGGATGTCATTACAATTATTCCCCCCTCCCCTCCCCCCCCCAAGGAAAAATTCCTGCAGAGGCCCATGCAGACAAATTAAATTGGTTAACCTCTCCATTTGGATCTACTGGCATCTCAAGCAGTTGTGAAAGTGGAATGATCTGCATTGGAAAGAAGCTCTTTTAATGAAAGGGACACTATAGTCACCAGAACAACTACAGCTACAGCTTAATGTAGTTGTTCTGGTGAGTATAATCATTGCTTTCAGAGAAAAGGCAGTGTTTACATTGCCCCCTATCACACCTCAGATGGCCACTGGAGGTGCTTCCTGGCTCAGTGCTGCAAAGTAGGCAGCAGTGCCGTTCAGCGTGGAGATGCTGAAATGTCCTCATAGAGATGCATTGATTCAATGCATCTCTATATGAGGAGGTGCTGATTGGCCAAAACGCCATTTGGCCCTGCCCCTTGCTGATTTTTGCCAATCCAAAGCTTTGCCCATGGGAAAGCATTGGATTGGCTAAAAATCGGCTATTTTGATGATGTCACCAAGGGGACGGGGCCAGTGCCGGCGAACCCACACGGCGCTGAAAAAAGGTGAGTTTTTCATGCTTTTAAGGGGAGCGGGGAGAGGGGGGGCAACCCACCTTAATGGTGGGTTTAGCACTACAGGGTCAGGAATACATGTTTGTGTTCCTGTCCCTATAGTGTTCCTTTAATGTTCACTACTCCTTAGTACTCTGATACAACTGGATTTATGATTTGACTGAAATTCTTTTACAGTTTTCTTCACCTCATTGAGCAAATCAAAAATCAACATGGGGCTGGCACTGAAGGAGTTAAAAGCACATTATAGCATTAGGAATACAAATGTGTATTCCTAACGCTATAGTGTCTTAGTCATCATTTCGGTGACTGGGGCCACACTACAAGGGTTAAAAAGATGAGTTTACTTCTCCCTCAAAGTCCTGATCTCCAGTCTGCTGCTTCATCTCTGTGGCTGAGATTGAAATCGATTTGTCAACCAATGCAATGCTTTCCCCCAGGAGGTTGGGAGACTAGAGCGCATGCACAGTGTAATGCTGCACTGTGCCAATTAAATGGTCTCTCTGAGACCATGAGATTAAAATAGTGGAGTTTTACTTTGCTATTTTGTGGAACTGCTTCAAGAGACTGTTAGTATGACAGCCACTAGAGGCATGTTAAACCTGAAGAATGACAATGTTTTCAGTGTCAGGGTTATAATGGGGTGAAAATGGCAGCTAGACTACTTTATTGAGATGGAGTGGTTTGGTCCATCAGTGAAGGCCTTCATTATAGCTGATCCACTATTAACATAAATGCAATATGCAGCATTTCACTAAGTCCACGTATTCTTGTACTTAGAAACCATATTAGATAACAAAACAACTCAGATCATCAAGACTTACATTAAGTGAGAAATGTTGGGAATTCAAAGCAAATTGAAACGTTTTGGCCACAATAGCTGATTTAGAAAAATTATCTAATTCAGTTCTGTTTTCATTTTGGCTATATTGTCCTTAAATAGTAGATAAATATGGCTAGCCTCTATACCCTTATATAGATAAATGGGTAAATTCCCCCCTGACCTCAGGTTGACATTACAAAAGGTAATGATCTCAGTAGTGTGCCACAGGGAGTGGTGGGGGCAATCCACCCCGGGTGCTCTGTTCACCCATCTTTCTCCTGTCACACTTTGTAGCTCGGTCGCATGGGACCTATGGAGATAATTTCATTATCATCTGCCTGGGTCTCGCAGGGAAGAAGCTTCCTCTCAGGCAGCAGGGGCAGAGTATAACACCCCGTAGCCTGCTAAGAGGCGCATGAAATGGAGAAGCAGGAAGAAGTCCTTGCTTTCCCACCAATAGATGCCAGGGACCACAGGGATTCCATCCCCCTCTCTTTCTTCCAGTTGTCCATACTTGTAGGACATAGGAGAGGGAGATGTAATGACTATGTGTATGAGACTGAATGTGACTTTGGGTGACTGGGTGTAGCTCTGTGCATATGACCTTGGGTGACTGTGTGTTACTGGCTCTGTGCATGTGACTTTCAGTGACTTTGTGTGTGTCTATGTGTATGTGATGTTTAGTTATTGTGTGTGTGGCTTTGTGCATATGACTTTGGGTGACTATGTGTTACTGGGTTTTGGCCTTGTGTATGTGACTTTGGGTTACTGTGTGTGCCTCTGTGTTTATGTGACTTTGGGTGACTATGTGTCAGTGACTGTGTGGCTGTGTGTATGTGACTTACGTTTCCTTGTATATGTGACTTTGGGTGACTGTGTGTAACTATGAGTGACCGTGTAACTGTATTTGACTGTGTATGTGATTATGTGTGTAAATGTGTCTGTGACTGTATGCATGTTACAAGTATGTACAGTATGAGTGTGTGTGAGTGACTATATGTATGACTGTGTGTATGTGGCTATGTATGTATGTGCTGGGGTGTAATCATGTGTGATTATGTTGTGATGATGTTAAATTGTGTATCTATGTTTAGAAATTACACATCAGTCTTGGTTGCCAAGATAACCTCGGATCGATTTATCTATCTATCTATCTATCTATCTATCTATCTATCTATCTATCCATCTATATATCGATCTATCTATCTATCTATCCATCTATCTATCTATCTATCTATCTATCTATCCATCATCTATCTATCCCTCTACCTATCTATCTATCTATCTATCTATCTATCTATCTATCTATCTATCTATCTATCTATCAGTCTATCTATCCATCTATCTATCTATCTATCTATCTATCTATCTATCTATCTATCTATCTATCCATCTATATATCGATCTATCTATCTATCTATAAATCTATTTTACGTCCTGTCTCTCTCTTGAGAAAACCAACAGCACTAAGTAAAATATCCTATGTAACATTATATGTTCCTAAAAGTGGGGGTTGCTCTTGGACTTTATTGTTCATTGTTTGATTAAATACTTTCCTCTTGTGTTCTTTATCTCGTATTGCTGTCGGTAACCACTGGTGATAGGTTATCTTTATCAAACTATTCCAAGAATTCGCCAACCTGGCATATGGCAGCAACTGAAATTAGTTTACTCTCAGAGACAGCATGTGTGCAATAGGGGCCTCACCTTGCTCTGCACTGTTTGATTTAATAGATTATTAACAGTTCACGGTAGAGTTGCAATGTAAGGGCTCTTTCTTTTAAATGCTGTGAATATTTTAAATTAATATCTGTCTCAACATTGTCCGTGGAGA